AAGTCGAGAGAAATTGCACCTCTCTTTGTAACAAGTATACACTATTATAACCTGTGCAAGGCTGAAAAAATTATATAACAAATACAACAATTATATATCTTTACTGTAAAGCTTTGCCTTAACATATAATGTCTTTCTGACCTATAACCGCATTCGAATATCTCTTTAACCAGAGGCCCCAAGCTGACTACTCCAGGTAGCGCCATATTCATAAGTAAACACATCACGTGGTTGCATTCTACTGAGTCTGTCTGAATTTGGAAAGTAAACAGTGTTGATCTTTTGGAGGGGTAAGCCAAATTCCCACTTTTTGCAGAAATTTTGAAAGACTGATAGGAAAATGAAAAGAGGTGAGAGAGGAACTACTTGACCAAGTAAAAAGAGTGCGGCTTTAGAAAAATATATATTTTGTTGTTTCCCCTGTGTTCTTCTTTGAAGTAACAACCTAAAAGCTTCATTGATGAAGTTGGGCTTTGCCCACACTTCACTAAGACTTTTTATACAAGGGTGCTATTTGCCAGTTATCTTGTACAATAACGCTCTTGGCTTACATGCCAAACGTCCCATAGAGGAGTTCTACTAGCAGAGTTGACCTTTAGACAAACCACTAAGTAGGCCACAACTCTCTAACAAAAATTTAGTTTTTCTATTTAGTGGGAAATTTTGGTTTAGGTGATCATCGAGAAGAGTGAAAAATTGATAAAAAAATATATTAATATTACCTTAATATTATTAATTAATTACTGATTACATTAAAATAATAATATACCTTTCTCTTAAAAGATAGTTTGATGAATATCTCAATTACCAGATTTAGTAGTTATACCAGTATTAGACAATAACAATACTATTATGTCATGTAATATTTTCATATGATACAAAATCATATGAATCATATGCCCTATAATATAGATCATGTTATATTATTAATATATGATACTTCATATAATATTGTAATATGACAAATCATATAAGTCATGTCATTTATATAATATCATCGTCCAACACTAAGTTATATCGATTTCAGCAATTTTTCATTGTTAAATAAATATAGTAAAAATAAAACAATAAAAATATATATTAATATCATCTTAATATCATTAATTAATTGCTGATTATATTAAAATAATAATATATTTTTTACTTGAAAAATAGTTTGACGAACATCTCAATTACTAGATTTAGTAGTTATACTGATTTCAGCAATTTTTTATTGTTAAATATATAAAGTAAAAATAAAACAATAAAAATATATTAATATTGTCTTAATATCATTAATTAATTACTGATTACATTAAATAATAATATACTTTTTGCTTGAAAGATATGTGAACGAACATCTCAATTACCAGATTTAGTAGTTATACTAATTTCGGCAATTTTTCATTGTTAAATATATAAAGTAAAAATAAAACAATAACAAATATATTAATATCACCTTAATATCATTAATTAATTACTGATTTCATTAAAATAATATATCCAATATGCGATAAAAATATATGTCATATAATTATCAGAAATTCTACATTGTTTTCTTAATCTTGTATATAAAAAAGAAAACAATGCTGACTTCCTAATAATACCTATTCTTTTATTACCATGCAATTAATTGTTTGAATGACAGGCTTGGTTCGACACTATATATATTAGATATTGTTATAATATATTTAGTTAATTTTTTTTTTTGTTAGAAAGATACACAGAAAAATTGTTTAATCACACAAGATCGAAGATTACACTTTTTAATTCTTCTGCATAGTGTTACATATCTAAATTTTCTTATAACTAGGAACCAGAAACCGGAAACCAATGTACATCTGAAGCATAAATCTTAAATAAATATATCTTTATATGTAGAACAAGTTTACTTATAGCATAGGTAGGTTTAAATAGTACAATTTTGTGAATTTTAATATTTTCCATAATTTTATTAATAATAAAATTATAGAAATATTAAAATCCACAAATGTATACTAATTAAACCTACCTTTATATTCTAAGTAAACTTGGTCTACACATAAAAATACATTGTATCAGTATACGTTTATATTATAATTTTAAATTTTATAAGAGAAAAAGATGTTTAATTTTAAATTTTTGATCAAAAATCCAAAATTAAGCATCTTCTCTCTTAAATTTTATGCATAAAACAAGTTTATTTAGAGTATAAAGGTAGAATTAAATAGTACAATTTTGTAGATTGCAATATTTTCCATAATTTTATTAATAAAATTATGGAAAATATTAAAATCCACAAAATTGTACTATTTAAGCCTACCTTCATGTTCTAAGTAAACTTGTTCTACGCATAAAAATACATCTTATTAGTATATGTTTATCTTATAAATTTAAATTTTAAGAGAAAATATGTTTAATTTTGGATTTTTGATCAAAAATTCAAAATTAAGCATCTTTTCTCTTAAAATCCAAAATTATAACATAAACATATACCGATATGATGTATTTTTATGCGTAGAACAAGTTTACTTAGAACATGAAGGTAGAATTAGATAGTAAAATTTCGTTAATTGCAATATTTTCCATAATTTTATTAATAAAATTGTGGAAAATATTAAAATTCACAAAATTGTACTATTTAAGCCTACCTTCATGTTCTAAGTAAATTTGTTATACGCATAAAAATACATCATATCGGTATATGTTTACCTTATAAATTTAAATTTTAAGAGAAAAGATGCTTAATTTTGGATTTTTAATCAAAAATTCAAAATTAAGCATCTTTTCTCTTAAAATTTAAAATTATAATATAAACGTATACTGATACAATGTATTTTTATGCGTATAACAAGTTTACTTAGAACATGAAGGTAAAATTAGATAGTAAAATTTCGTGGATTGCAATATTTTCTATAATTTTATTAATTAAATTGTGGAAAATATTAAAATCCACAAAATTGTACTACTTAAGTCTACTTTTATGTTCTAAGTAAACTTGTTCTACACATAAAAATACATCATATCGGTATACATTTACCTTATAAATTTAAATTTTAAGAGAAAAGATGCTTAATTTTAGATTTTTGATCAAAAATTAAAATTAAGCATCTTTTCTTTTAAAATTTAAAATTATAATGTAAACATATATCGATATGATGTATTTTTATGCGTAGAACAAGTTTACTTAGAACATGAAGGTAGGCTTAAGTAGTACAATTTTGTGGATTTTAATATTTTCTACAATTTTATTAATAAAATTATAAAAAATGTGATTTTTAAAATTTTGCTTAGTCAATATCTTTTCAGCTTATAAGTAAAGTTGTAGAATACTGTCTTGCGATCAAAAGGCGGTTAAAACGTTAAAATCAGCCTAGTAGATCGCGAAATATAAGTATTTTAGTCTTTACTTATATGTTTTCTTTTTTATTTATAAAGAAGAAAATATATAATCATGAAAACAAAAATGCTTATATCTCTCAATCTACTGGGCCGATTTTAACGTTTTAACCGCCATTTTGATCGCAAGACACGCCTCTACAACTTTTATTAGAAGTCGAAATAAGGTTAACTTTAGCGTCACAGACAGAAAATGCCACAATTGCGTTTTTGATATTTTTACTATAAATATATCAAAAAGGTAATTTTGGTTATCACTTAACGTAAAAGTATGAGTCCTACGCTTCGCTTCGGACAAAAATTTAAAATCTTTGATACGTACGATCAGTTCCTAAACCCAAATATCACGAGATTTCTATTATTTTATTACTGTTTATATCTCAGCATTAATATACAAGTATATACTGTATATACGTATATAAATTCTTACTATCTGCTACGTATTATAAAAAAAAAAGTTAACTATCTGTTATTAAAGTTTTTTTCGTTTACTGTGTAGAATTTAGCCAGCCTTTTAGTTTTATACTCTTAATAATATATATTTTAAGTGTAACTTTATAAGTGAATAGCAATACAACGGCGTGGGATTAACTGGATTAAAAAAATATGAAATTAGGCACTCTTAGTTCGCTTAATATACTTGACCACGTTTCTTAGCAGGTAAGTTACGCGAGCTTCTTAAAGAAGTATTGTAAAACGTACGTACGTATAGAAAATTTATTTCTCATTGTTGCTATATAGTATGTATATAGTCACATATGGTTGTGAAAACATTTCCCGAATTTTCCTGTGTCAATACGTAATACAACTACGTAACACTAGAGGTCGACATAATTTAACTTTAATTAAATCGGGTTGTTAATATGAAGTTGTGACAGTAACCGGATTCCAATTAGAGTTAGCAGAAGAGGTAATCCTCAAATTTTTATTTGACAATACAATTGTCTGAAAGACTGAGGCGGAAGATTTACTCATATCTATAACAAAGTCAAACAGCATGTCTTAGTAGACCCAGGCTAATAATTAGACGATAATCTAATGGGTTGGGTATCGATATATGGGGTTTTTGCCTTGAAAATCACGTTATGGAACATATGATTTACTATGTCCCATAACGTGATTTTCAAGGCAAAGACCCCATATCCTTCTTGCATAGTAATAATTCATCAGAGCCAATATACTCCGATTTTCAATCGCACAATTTGATTGGCTCGATTACCATAACCACCCTTATTTTTAAGAGTGGTATAAACTTTCGAAGCAACTAATTCTGTAATTGTTGTAAAATTAATTCAACTAATCCGATTCGCACTAAATTATTTGATTATTTGACCTAATAAAGTTTTGTACAATAGAATATGCATACATTTTACAAATTTTCAAGTTTTTCTATTGGTTTCCATAACGGGAATATACGCGCACTTTTTTGACATATACGCGCACCCTTTTTTTATAATAGCTTTTGTTAGGCTAAATTGTTTTATTAAGCCGGTATTTTGCCGTTGATAGTGCCGAACTTTTATTATTACAAAATCCCACTGAAAGACTAGAAATTCCCATTGGAAACTAAAACTCGCAACACTGATTCAAACTGCTTTTCCAAAAACAATTTTAATTTTTTTTTACTACTATTATTATAATCAATGACTAGTGAAAACAAGTGTACTTGGACACCAAACACGACCTTGTTGGAGCCTCATCATCATGAAGAGCTGTAAGTCACGTTTTGTGTAAAAAAAAGGTATAATTTGAAGTGTATTTGTTTGGCTCATTAATTGAAATTTTGCTTATAAATCAAGTTTACCTGAGCCAGCGATCCTAGATAATATACTTGATCATATTGGAAATACGCCTCTTGTGAAAATTAATAGAATTACAAAGGCTGAAGGAATTGAATGTGAAATTCGTAAGCGTTTTGAACTTGTTATCCGTTAATCATGGTTACTTTAAATATGATATTTTATTAATATTTACGAATGTAAATATAGTGGCAAAATGTGAATTTTTTAATGCTGGAGGGTCAGTAAAAGATCGGATTGGAAAACGCATGGTTGAGGAAGCCGAAAGGGCTGGAATCATAAAACCTGGATACACATTAATTGAACCAACTTCTGGAAACACTGGTATCGGGATCGCGCTAGCTGCTGCCGTAAAAGGTTATCGAGCGATTATTACTCTTCCAGAAAAAATGAGTCAGGAGAAAGTACATAACTATAATGATTGTCATTATAAATTAATATCGCGGCTAAAGCTAGAAATTAGAGTCCCTCTATTTAAAAATATAAATCCACTTATACTCTTTTATTATAAAACTAACCCTAACTAACCTAATTATTGTATAAAAAAAATGCCCCCTAAAGATTTTGATAATTTCATATTATTTAAAATTTCTAGCTTTAGCTGTTTCCAGCTTTAGTCATGACAATTATTTTTGATTCATTGATTAAACTGATCTATTTAGGTCGATATACTCAAAGCTCTTGGTGCAGAAATTATTCGTACACCAACTGAGGCGGCATGGGATTCACCAGAATCACATATCGGGGTTGCTAAACGGCTCAATAAAGAAATTCCAAATTCGATTATTTTGGATCAATATTCAAATCCGTATAACCCTATCGCTCATTATGATCATACTGCGGAAGAAATTTTGAAATCATGTGATGGAAAGGTAGATATGTTTGTTGCGGGTGCGGGTACTGGTGGAACTATTACAGGTGTTGCTAGAAAATTAAAAGAAAAGTGTCCAGGGGTTAAGATTGTTGGGGTGGATCCAGTTGGATCACTTCTTGCTGAGAAAGCGAATGGCGCTGATGCCCTTATTTTACCGTACTTGGTAATATTAATGATTATTTCACATTTACAAATCGCGATTTTTAGATCGAATAATAACGATTTTTTGATATTATGTTCAGGTTGAAGGTATTGGCTATGACTTTATTCCTGAGACACTTGATCACAGCGTGATTGATGAATGGGTAAAGTCAGGTGATAAGGAATCTTTTATAATGGCCCGTCGTCTAATTCGTGAAGAAGGACTCTTGTGTGGTGGTTCATCCGGTGCCGTGATGTGGGGTGCGATTCAAGCAGCAAAGTCACTGAAAAAAGGTCAACGGTGTGTTGTCCTATTAGCCGATTCAGTGCGGAACTACATGACTAAATTCTTGAACGATGATTGGATGAAGAAACACGGATTTATCGATGAATAGTGATTCTGACTAATAAATGAAAAATCGACTAAGCTAATTTTCGGCTTAGTCAGTCGATTTTTTCAAATAGGTTAACCGATTTCTTATAATGATAATAAGCTCCTGAAAGCTCTTTTTTTGTATAATATATATTACAAATAGCAAATAATAAATTATTAGAATAAATTGTCGATACACCTTTAAAGGAATTTTATTCACTGTTAATTGCTTTTGGTAAATCCAATGTAATCGCGTTCGTTAGAGATTTGTCATAAGCTCGATTGTATTCTCATAGGACTGAAATTTATTCGGATTGCGCAAAAACTAATCTTTAATTTCCGGGCCTTAACGGTGATACTTTCCGCGGCATTTCGTGCTACGCAGAAAAAAAACGCGATTGTTTTTTATTTTCACGTTACACCTGATTTTGCGTTACTATATAGATAGCTTTGATTGGGAAGATAAAAAGCATCAAGGAAAAAAAAAAAAAAAATTGAGAACGTGTTTTCTTCAGACCTTTGGTTATGATGGCGCGTCCAAAATTGTGTATTAATAAGACAAATGATATTTCTATCACCTCGACTGCTGAGATTAACAACTGGCAATCTGGTCTGAACGAGGCCACTCAAGAGTATTCATATGAAGGTAAAGTTATATCTCTGATTTTCAATGAAATTAAAAAGTTGTATCTTACTAGTGATTTGTGATTACCTGTATAATATATAATATACACAAATATATGAATATCAAATTAATGTGTATGACTTTAAATTACAGTTGGTAGTCCAAAACGCACGAAAAAAAATAAAAAGTGCAAAAAGAACAAGCTCGCTCCAGTCTCTGATTTACCAGAAGATTTTGTTCATACTTATAACGATCTTGTTAATAAACTTAAATCGACAAGTTAGTTTTCATCTTTCATATATTTATATCATATTAAATATTTTAATTAATGCATAACATACAAAATCTTTTTTAAACAATACGATAGATGAGAATGAACGTAACAAAAGCATTGAAGCTCTGGTGAATCTTATGGCCACTAAACATACAATGGAGCCAACGATGTTTTCGGAATTATGGGAATGCTTGATTGAATGTAAATTATTCTTTTAGTAAATTTCAGTAAAGTATCTGTGTATAGTCAGTCTATTTAATATGATGTCATTATATGATAGGTCTAAAGATGTCCACAGTGGTCACCTTGCCCTATACTATTAGTAATTATATGGCTGTTATTAATGACTTAAATTTAATACCATTTATTAAGTCGTTTTGGAAGGCTGTAGAAATAGAGTGGAGCAACATTGATAGTCATAGGTAACGGGAAAATGAAGAACTCTAATCTCTATAATTAGCAAAAATTATTGAAGATGACTAATTAATTTTTTATTTTAGAATCAATAAGCTATATACTATAATCAGATCTTTTGTTAGAGCATTTCTCACAAGGATTGCTCGCGACGATTTTAATCATATAAATGAGTCTATAGGGCCATTTGAATCGTCATTAAGGTATGTCGAATGATTTGCTTTGAATTAAGGTTTGATTAATCAATGATATTAAGGAGCATCGTGTATAATTTGTAGTCCAAAGTCCCCTGACGGAGTTAAATATCATTTATGTGATGTGTACGTCGATGAATTGGTCTTTGTAGGAGTTTCGGTATATATTAATTTGTAATTTTTAAGATTCATAATAAAATCATTAAAATAACCAACAACTATGTATCTATTTTATTGTATATAGGTTAGATGGAAAATCCCGGTGGCACATCTGCTACGTCCTTTCCAATTACTCCTTGCTAGGAGCCATAACAAGCATTTAATAAATAAAGTATCGGAGGATGTGCTTGAAAGAATATTAACTGTTATTCCAATTGGTAATTATATCTAATTACAATAAGACCTGATTTGTAAAAAACTCTGTTTTGAATTCTAAATCTATTTTCTATATAGGCGAAGAGGCAAGTCACATCAAATCGGAACTAACAAAAGTCGTAACTAGAATGATACAAATTATCAATGATGTCAATACGTCTGCAGCAAGTAGAAACAGGGCGAAGATAGTTGCACAGAAATACCTTCAAACTATCACTGAAATTACTGATAAATTGTCAGATAATGTTGAAGAAGAAGAAGAAGAAATGGAAACATCCCGAAGACCTTCAAAGTCTATTAGCTGGGGTGTTAATGTTACACGAGGTTTAATTCAATTCTAATTTCTGATTTACTTTTTTCATTTTAAATAATATCAGAATGTTTTAGTTAATTGTGATTTGCATTATTACAGAGTACATTAAGGATAGTACAGTCCCAGCGAACACTTTGGCTGCACCATCTACCCCACCTCGTGGTATTCTTAAGCGCAGATATGATCACGAAGAAGGTGCTGATTATGAAATTTATGGAATGTCCAATTTAACCTTATCGCCTATGAAAAAGTTTCGTGAGGACAAAAATAATGAATGTTGAGATATGTTAAGATATTGATAGGCATGAAAATTTCAGAAACAAATTATTGTAATAATGAATCATAAAGATAGTTCTGTATACAATTGTTATGGGCACTAAACATTATCAAGAAACATTAGATTTAAAAATTTTAGACTAGTTTTTTAATAATTAATAAGCTCTTGATGTAACATTTGAAGATCTAAATGAAGAAATTAAATGTAGTGTTCTGAATATCTTTGCGTTATGAATGGGATGTGTTTGTTATCAACATATGTACGACTAGATCTCAGGGTCCGGGGAGTGAGATATCTAATTTTTTTTTTGTCTTAGGTTTCGTGCAGGGACACGTAAATATTATTTCGATTAAAAGTAAAAATTTCGATTGATTTTGATAAAATTTCGATTTATTTCGAAACTATAATACTGTCTTCCTCCTATATAGTCACCTCCTATATAATCACATCATAGTAAAACACTTTTTATAATCACGCCAAGGCTTTACTAATAAACTTATAAAAAATACTTCTTTATAAGCACATCATAGTAAAAACCTTTATACAATCACACAATTTGCATGATACGGACTGCGCGATTATAGAGGAAGTATTAGCAGAAATCACATGTTTAAACGATTTCATGAGTTATTACGTGTTTCGATCCGTAATCCGACCAATTCGGATTAAATGCGGATATTTGTATCCGTTAATTTTTAACGGATGGATCCTAGTTTATAATAGATTATGGATAAAAATAATCCTAAAAATCTTTGTGATTGGTCGCAGCTGATGTTAAGTAAAGTACGTTAGCTAGAACTACCGTATTTATCCGCCACGAGTACCCGGGGTATTTCCCTTGTTCGTTTTAGTACCCGGGATACACATGTAGGGGGATATATTATATTATATTTCACGGCATTAATAGGGTTTTACAAAGTCGATTATATAATGAATATTGAATTAAACTAATGGATTTTTTATTAATGTTTTATAGATACCATTAGGGATCATGAATTGGCTATTTAAAAACATAATTTTGTAGTAAAATAATAGTGATAAATATAAATAATATGACGGTTACAAAATATTAGCATAGAAATAATTAGGCAAAGATTTTTAATTGGCAACCCCATTTTCTAAACTCAATTTTTTAAATATTCATAGGTCAAGGTTGACCATCAGCTTGGAGACATCTTGGGTAAATTTCAAGTGAAAAGATCCTCAATGCAAGATCTAGGTGGCCTAGTTAAAAATTAAAACAAGGATCCATATCATCTAATTCATCCCAATGCCAAAACAAGTTTGCAAGGCTATCAAGGCACAAGCACGTTGTGGTGGCCATAAAATATTAAAGTAGAAAAAAAAAAGTTTTTATTTATATGTAAAAAAAAAAACTTTTTATGTTTAAAACGAGCAAAAATAATGCAACAAGTTGTTTTGAATAAAGCTCGTGCTCAAGAAAAATTTGCCTCATTAATACCTTCTAAGACTTTTATACGTGAATACTATATTGTTTATGATACACTCAAAATTTACATGAGATAATGCGATCCAAGCAAAAATATTTTTTTGCTGCATTATTTATGATCGCCAGTGTACATTCAAAGTAATAATGGTAATTTCGATAAAAATTGGTGTATAAATTTAATTATAACAAGTTATTATAGACCATATTGCCTAACCAGAATAAGGTCAGTAAATTCAGAGTCTAAATTGACATCCTTGCGGTCACAATTACATTTTTGCGATTAATTCTATTTTCCGATACAAAATCTTTCAAATATAACGTTCAATACTTCATCAACTTCAACGCGACCAGTAATTCTACCTAATGCATTAGTCGCATATCTTAAATCTTCGGCTGCTAGTACTATGTCCTTTTGAGCTACAAATCATTAAGTCAAACATAAGTCATTTAAAATATATGATAATAATGCGATAGACCTTACCAAGGAAGTTTTGTAAACCAAAAATACAATCATTAAGGTTTTCTCGATGTCGTGACTGTGTGATCAAAGCAACTTGGGTAGCAGAATTATCATACCTAACATCATAAACCGATTTATAATAAAGATGGTAAAAGCATTTAAAGGCAAACGAAATGATAAATGCTTACTTGTGTTTCAAAGAACTCACGAATATATCAATAAATTCCTTAATACCACCCCCATTTATACATGACACGCAACAAACGTAATTTTCAGGAAAAATTTTGGTAACTGCTTTTTTCAAATGAGCCAATTCAGATACATTTAAAAGATCACTTTTATTAAGAATCAGAAAGGTAGATTTGTCCAAAGATTCATTAATCAAAGGACTTATGACTCTAAATGAATTCTCATCGTTAGAGTTTAAAATTTTTAAAACTTCAACGCTAGAAAGAATACATATTTTTATGTCGGCTGAAAGTATACTATAACCAAATTTATTAGTTAGGAATAAACTTATTCTATAAGCATTACAATAAATAAATATTACCGATCCTTGGCTCGTTTGATTCCTTCAATTTCCACAATGTCATCAGATTGTCTTAATCCAGCTGTATCTCCAATAATAATTGGGTATCCACCAATATTCAATGAAATTTCAATTACATCACGAGTTGTACCAGGAATTGATGAAACAATAACTGCTTGTCTCCGAGCTATAAAACGTAAGAATTATTAAAGTAAAATATTCATATCTTTTTTTTTAGGATCTTATTATATCAGATATATACCCAAACAATTTAAAAAACTGCTTTTGCCAACATTAGGAGGACCAAATAGTGTCACATGTATTCCATCTCGCAAAATTTCACCTCTGCGGTCATCATTTACATGATCGATCATAATATTCAACACTTGTTTTACCTTTGCCGTCACTATTAGAATTAATTGTGAATAACGGAAAGTCTACGGACACGTGTAGGTCACGTGACGTGCGCACATACTTTTTTTGATTTAAAAGGCGGTCAGTTAAGGCTTTTGTACTGAGTTAACATCCTTTATCATTCTAATAAAGCTTGTTTTCCTGGTCTTTCTGGTTCCGATGGTGGTGAGATTATTAAAATCTGTTCAGTAGAACCAGAGATATGACCTTTCAAAGATTATATAAAAACGTCGCATAAACTTCATGAGGCTATACTTCCCGCTCTACTAAGTCAGTTTTAATAATCTCACCACTATTAGTATCAAAAAGACCAGGAGAACAAGCTTACTCAGAGTGATAAAAGAAGGTTAACTTAGTTCGAAAGTCTTCCGGGTCACCTTTTTCTTATTTTTTTCTTTATTTAAAATTAAGTGATTTGATTGAGATTTTATAAAAGGTTAATCTCCTTTATCTCCCTAAGAAACTTGTTCTCCTGGTCTTTCTGGTTCTAACGGTGGTGAAATTATTAAAATAAACTCAGTAGAGCCGGAGATATAGCCTCATGAAGTTTATGCGACGTTTTTATATAATCTTCATAACGTTGCCCAAATTTTGAAAGGGTTCTACTGATCAGATTTTAGTAATCTCATCAATATTAGAACCGGAAAGATCAGGAGAGCAGGTTTTATTAGAATTATAAAGGATGTTAACTTAGTGCAAAAGCCTTAACGGATCACTTTTAAATCAAAAAAATTATTATTTTGGTACGTGTCCATAAGATGACCTATCACGTGACCTGTGTGTGTTTGGTGAACAAAAATAAGGCTTACCTTGTTCTACAATCCCATCTTCAATGTTTTCATCTTCACTGAAATCTATTACAGCCTCTATTAATGCCGTATTCTCAATTAATTGCCTTCTCCAATTTTCATACAAATTTTTTAGACTTCCCTATAAAAATCAATGGCCACGTGATCATTTGAAGCTTTAAACTAACAATTATAAGAGGTTGTTTGTACTTGAGCCTGTCTAAGAGCTTGTCGTCTCTGTGCTTCTGTTTCAGCATTTAACAAATCGGCAAGTCCTTCGATTTCTGTTAGATCAAGTTTGTCATTGTCAAATGCTCTTTTTTGGAGGGATGAATATTGAACCGATATTAAAAATGAAATATATCAATAAGTAGAACTTTAAAACACAAGTGGGTATCGCATACCTGTGAATGAATTCGCCTCGTTCAGCATGCCTAAAACCTTCAGCAGAACCGAGCGCATCCAAAACACCACTTATTATTGATATGCCACCATGTATGTGAAACTCAGCCACATCTTCCCCCGTGTAACTATTTGGTCCTAGAAAAGTTTGCTGGATGTAAAGTTGATTCTACCCTGATTTCTTAAAAGTTATTATCGTTATACCTGGAAACCATAAGACCAACCCGTGATCAATCATTTCACCGGTAGTTGGATGTACGATAATTCTCCTTGTAGCTTTTCGCGGAGTTGGGAGTGTTTTTTTCAAATATTTTTGGGTCATGTTTATTAAAGCCTTTTCGAAATAAGTTTAAATTAGTACAAGTATCAAATGATTTTAACGTATTATCAAGTTTATACTAACCTCTGAAGCTTTTGATCCAGAAACTCGAATTATCGCAACTCCAGCTTTGCCCTGAGCAGTAGATAATGCGAAAATTGTATCTTGTTGGGATAAGCGTGTATTAAAATATTGTCTTCTTCCATTAAATATATATAAAATTCTACGACTAGCTGGTTTACATAAATGTGTTATGAACGACATTTTGTGTTTGGTAATATCATAACGGATAATGTGAAACTAAAATTGTCCTTATCATAAGAAGACATTTCTGATTGGCTGATAAATCAGTTGCGTGCCGATAATCAAAGATAACAGATAAATATATACTTGTAATCTGTCAGTATAATTTCCAGCAATGAACGCTTATAAAGTTGCTACCTCGTTCGCGTCCGTCGTTCGTTTTCGCTTCACCTCACCATCTTTGATAAAAACTCAAAATAATTATATGTTACGGGTAAATACAAATCTCAAAAGGTTCTATATACAATATTCAAGTATGTTAAGTTGCTTATCTATTTTTTTTAGGTTCACTTTAGTTTAACTAAAACGCAAAATAAAGCAACGTTTACTACAACAGTAGCTAGAGAAAATCCAAAAAAGCCGGTTAGAGCAACAGGAAGTAGTCATCAAAGAATATATAAAGAAGCCGAGCCTTATTATTTAGATACATTTCAGACACCGAAAGAGTCAAAAAGGAAAACATATTCGCCATTCGTTACAAGAATATTAGTTCGTCTCGGAAAATTATTAGGATATTATGATTTGCCAGTACAAGCTATTCGTGTAACAAGAGAAATGTACCAAATGTGTGCATTACGGTTAGATGAAAATAGAGAGTTTTTTATTGATAGTAAGTGAACTCTCTTCAAATCGTGCTTGCTAGAAACTCTATTGACAACAGTTTGTGAATTCTATTGGTGATAAGCTTGCGGATTACCAGATAGCTTTCAAACATGGTTTCAAATAACCTTATTACATGTTTGGATGTTGATGGTTAGGTTTAGACCTGAAAATGATGGAAAAGTATATATGCAGCAATTAGTGAATCATTTATTTGATGATGCAGAATGGCGAATGCGAGAGATACATGGTGTATGTTTGGTTCATATTTATTCTTTGCAATTATTCTTGTAAACGCTAATTTTGTACCACAATTTGCAGATCACTTCAGGCAGTTTAATATCACACTATATGAAAGATTATCTTTCTCAATTTCACGGTGCAGTTATGGCGTATGACGAAGGACTTTGTAAAGACGATCCAGTATTAGCAACCGCATTATGGAGGTAACGATAGAATAACATGCTCTTTATTTTATGTTTATTCACTGATTATTTTGTTTCTATTTATAAATAGAAATGTATTGGTTACAGAAGGGTCAGCACATAATATGGCATGTCTAGTTAAGTATGTTAGACAAGAGCTTCAGGCTTTAGATAAAATACCATTAGAAAAACTCGCACAAGGTCTTATTCGGTTTTCTGCAATGACATAAAGATAAATCATTGAATTTTAAAAAACATTGTAAATTTAAGATTATTTGTTTAATTTTTGTATAAAATGTTTAAGAGTAGAAAGTATAATTTTTGTAAATTATATATAAGTCTAATTGTAATTTTTTTTAAAAAATTATCTTTTAATTTATAGGCTTTTTAAACAAATTTGTTTAAAAAATTGGTATAAATTTTTTTTTTAATTAAGATTATATAGTATAGTATTAAACTATAGTAGTATTTTTTTTTTTTGACAGGTTTGGCTGTGACTTGTTTTATTTACTTGATATAAAAATAATTATATATATTAATATTTTAAGACTCAAAAGCCCAACTCCATTCAGCTGCCTTTATAGTATTCAAGAATAATCTGCTTTATTAGATCACAGATGACTTCAACAAAGATTTACAAAACATGAAAATGAGCTATAACTAAAAAAGGTGAAATGAAAAAGATTGAAAGGGAAAATAAAATTAAAAAAAAATCCTAAAAAAAGAAAAAAGCAAGAAAAAATAAAAGAAATATTTTATAGAAGGATAATATTGAGAAGGATTTCATTTCTCTACATAACAAAAATGTATTATTATAATCTGTACAAGACTAAAAAAATTATATAACAAATACAACAATTGTATATTTTTACTGTAAAGCTTTACTTTAATTTATATTTTCCTTTTTAATACAACAATCTTCAAATATTTTTTTAAATAAGGTTTTAATTTAACTTCCATATAGTAATACTATATTTATAAATAAATATGTTATGGTTGTATTCTACTGAGTTTATCTGAATTTGAAAAATAAACAATGCCAATTTTTTAAAAGAGATAAGCCAAATCTCACTTTTTTTAAAAATTTTTAAAAGATTAATAAAAAAGCAAAAGTAAGTACAAGAGAAATTACTTAATCAAATAAAAAAAGTATAGCTTAAAAAATATATATATTTTGTTGTTTCTTCTGTATTTTTTTTTAAAGTAACAATCCAATAGCTTTATTAATAAAGTTGGACTTTATCTACACTTTACCAAGATTTTTTATACAAGAATACTTTTTGCTAATTATCTTGTATAATAACACTCTTGGCTTGTATACCAAATATTTTTATAAAAAAGTTTTAAAACAAAAAATATTAGCCTCATTACATAGGCTATGACTTTTTAACAAAAATTTAGTTTTTTTGTTAGTAAAAATTTTTGGTTTAAGTAATTGTTAAAAAAGTTTATCTGATATGAAATTTTATAGTAGTATTTAATTTTAGGGTTCTTTTAAATATTTTAGCTAGAGATATATAAATTATATATTTTTAGCCTATTAATCAATTAAAATGCAAAAATTATATAACTAGAATTTTTAGTATTATATAATTACCTATGCAAACTTTATATTTTTCTATTGGACTTAATTAGACATAGCATACTGTGATGTGCTTATACATCGCCTTTTAACAATTAACCAATTAAATTTGAAGATCAAGTATAATGTGCAAATTAATTTTATATAACAAAAATAAAGAAATTTTTTAAAATTTCAAAATAGCTCAAAATGCTGTCTATAAAACTGCCTTTTAAGCTCTAACAAAAAAAAATTCCTCACAAAATTTTGGTATATACTATACTCTACTCTAACTGCCAACCTTAACCCTAACCTAATCTAGTATTAATTTTTTGGCATATATAAATTTGTTATTACACAGATCTACAATTATATATATGCGATAAATTAGCACATCGCATAGTGCAATATATATATTTATCCTTTTCTATGTATATTTTTATTTTTTATTTTTAACAATAATACTGTAATATTATAATATATTCTATCAGTTGCATTTATATATATATAATATTTTAACTAAAGACAATTTGCTATAATAATAATTAGTCTTTTTTAGAATTTCTAATTTACTAAAAATTTTATACTAATAAAAATACACTCTATCAACAAGTTGTTATATATTTTATTAGAATTATTTTTTTTTAATTTTTTTTTTTTTTAAAAAACAAAAAAATTTTTTAAATAAAATAACTAAAAAACAAAAAAAAACAAAAAAAACAAAATATACAAATTATAAAAAAAGAAAAACAACAAAAAAGAAAAAATATATATTTTAACAAACCAAAATTATAAATTTAAAAATACACTATTATAGCCTATATTAGGCTTGAAAAAATTATATAACAATTACAACAAATTATATATTTTTAATTTAAAGCTTTTGTTTTAAAGTTAATTGTCTTTTTTTAACTTAAAAGACTTTCAGAAATTAGCTGATTTATTTTTATTAATAGATTGTCTGAAGTCAAACCCACCTACTCATATCTGACACTCTATTAGCCAATCAAATTTTATATTTATTTTAAATTTTATATAATAATATATATATTGTTATAGAATGTGCTAAACGTCTAAAACATATTAAATATTAAATTTGAAAGGTTCTAATAATTAAAACAAGCTATAATACATGATAAACAAATTGATACATAGCTAGCAATAGATAAACAAATACTGTATAAACCAAGAATTGATAAACAATAAGCTACAATAGATTTACTACAATACTTGTTGTAAATTCATGTTTTTAATATTTCTTTATGTTTTTTAATATTTCTTTATACTTTTTAATGTTTCTTATTGTCTCTTAATGTTTCTTAATATTTCATTATATTTCTTAGCACTTCTTAATATTTTTTAGTATTTCTTAATACTTTTATTATTTCTTATTATTTATTATTATTTCTTATTATTTCTTATTAGTTATTATTATTTTTTATTGTTTTTTATAGTTCTATATTCTTTGATATATATTGTAAAAGCTATATAAACCCTAGCTTTTCCCTTTTCCTAGCACTTTGAAATTAGTTCTCTACAATTTTATTTTATTTTATTTTTTATAAATTTGGCAGTTATACCAAAATTTTATTAGATATAACGCACTCGACTATACTATCTTATGCGATCGTTTAAAACTAAAACACTAGCTCCGACATCTAAATTGCAAGTTTTGACTGGCTTAGTTACTTCAAAAGCACTTATTCCTGACCTGCTATAGTAGTTTTCACCTCCTTATATATCCTTTTTACAATCGAAAGTATATATATATCAACAGTAAGCACTACAGCTTATCATGACTGCTAATTTCTTTAAGACCCTCCTCTTCTTAATATCCAAGCAAGAGGATTCCGCAATCCTTGCCTCAAGAACAACAAGTATACTAAAAAAACTAAACTAATAAAGGATAAATAAAAAAAAAGGTAAAGATATTACAAAACCTAAACAAAAACCAAGTAATAAAGAAAGAAAAATAAAATAATAAAAAAAAGAGGAGGACAAAAAGAAAAAAAACAAAGATGAAACAGCACCAGATATACCAGTACTGGTAAAGTTTAAAAAATTATTTAATACTCCATAAAACAATCCCCATCTTCGCTTTACTTTAGTATTAAAATATGTATTATATGTGGGGAATATCAAATTTTTTTTGTTTACCCTAGTGATCTGAAACCAACAGGTTGCTATTATTTATATATTTGTCTACAGTCTTCAGGGGTATAGTATATGATTTCCTCATAATATGTCATTCCGATTTGGTAACATAAACAATATCGATCTTTCATAGAGAGTATGCCAAAATTCCTACTTTTTGGAAAAAATTTGGAGAGAAATACCAAAAAACCCAGCAGGAATATGGAATGTGGTTTGCGAAGTCATGTACTTTCAAAATTTTCAAAGGAGTATGTTGAGATCTACAAATATTTGTTGTTTCCTCTGTGTTTTTGTTAACAGCCTAGGAGCTTCGTCGACAAAAAAAACTTTGTGTCTCCACCAAGATTTTTTATACAAGAGCACCACCTGCCAGTTATCTTGTATAATAATGCTCTTGGTTTGCATGCTGAACATCTTTTAGAGAAGTTCCGCAAACTGAAAAAGCATTGACCTCTAGACAAACTACTATATAGACCACGACTCTCCAACAAAATTTGTGTTTTTTTTTAGTAAAAAATTTTGGTATGAGTAATTGTCGGGAAGAGTTTTGTCTACAATCTTTAGTTATTAGAATTCTTTAGAAATAGATACCTTTAGTTAGTCTTATATCTTAATATTGTACTGTAAATAAATATACCTTAATAAACATATATTTTTGCTCTTATATAAACTATACCGAATTATTCTAGTGAAGTAATATTTCACTTTCACATCACTTCTAGATTCTTGTTGCTATATGCTGTGTTGCAAGTACTATATTTCTAAAAAGACTATCCCTTAATATATAGACCAACACAGGCAAATTTGCCTGCGTTTTTGCACTTTTTTAGCTCTGATTTACTTTTTTAAAATGCTAAAATATTTAAATAAAA